TTGGAATGGAGTAAGTTCATTTTTATTCTCATAATGGGTTCTTGGAATATTTTTTATTTCTAACATTGTGGTTCTAGCATTCTTAGAATCTAGCATTTCTAGCATTAGAATCTTCACTCGGCTCAGGAATCGTTCTTTTTTTGTATAATATATATAGTAATATGTATAGTATATAATTCCATAAAAATATTGTTACGAGCTTGGAGTTCGAGACAATTAAAACTGCTGATTGAATTACCAAAATTGACACTTTAATTACACGACACTAATTACAATCTAAAACCACACTAATAATAAAACACAATTGTACTACTGATCAATTAAATTCGCAGTTGTTCGCTTTGAAGTATCTTGTATCGCCAATTCAATACTTCCCTGGTCGTGGTCTATACCGGCCTTATATAGGGCCTCAGATAGTTTCCAGAACCTTCTAATGTTCTGTTCTAATGTCTAGAATGTTCGAGTACATATCGGTCCCGAAATTTCTGGAAGGATCTTGACTCTCCTAGTTCTGCTATTCGACACTAGAGGGCGCTAGTGGGAACTAGTGTTGCCATATACAAGACATTAATAGTGGCGCGCAACACTGCCCCCTCCTAAGACATGCTCGTCCCGAGCATTATTGGCCCCATAATAACGCGCCAGTCAATCCACATGGATGATCTTAGGAGTACCTCTGGCACCTTTCTGTATCCGGTAGGTTACGTCATTGATCCTTGTCACAATCCGGTACGGTCCGTCCCATTTAGCTTGAAGCTTAGGAGATTTCCCTTTGCTGCGAGCTGGATTGTGTAACCACACTAGTGAACCTTCGTCAAACCCTTTGTTGTTCATTTTGCGGTCATACCGTGTTTTCATCTTCTCAGACGTTTGCTGGCCCGACTGTCTGACGTGCTCATAAATGTCATTCATTTTATTCCGCAAGTCATTGGCATAATCGGTTATAATGCGTGGGGCATCAGGTGGTATTCCGGTGATCAGGTCTGCAGGCAGCCGCAATTCTCTCCCAATGTTTGCGAAAACTGGCGTCACTAATGTACTTTCGTGAACAGCGCTTCGAAATGACAACAAAAACGGTTGTATGTGCCTGTCCCAGTCTCGTTTCCCATTTACGGCACAGGACTCCATCCTGAATCAGCAAGCTGTCCCATTGGGCCCAATAGCTTTTCGTGGTCGAACTCATCACTGAGACGTCGCTCCACTTGGGCTTAGGAGCACTGGCCTTCATCTATTCCAGAATCGGCTTTATGTCCGAATCTTCCTGCTGTGCATGTTGTAAGCTGTCCTTCCACTCATTGCTGAGCTGGTCTGTCCTGAGTATCCTCACAGATACCACTTCCTTACCCTCTTGCCTAATACAATGCTTGCAATCTTCAGAACAAGGTCTTCTTGACAATGCATCTGCGTTGTCATGAGATTTTCCGCTGCGCTGGGCGGTGCTGTTAGCCGCACTACCCTCTCGAGATCGATCACCTTCCCTTTCTACAGTTCGCTTAGGGCAGGTGAATCGAAGATGGCCCATCTCCCCACAGCCGTAGCACCTAGGCCTGTATCCTTCACTGCGGTCACGAACTGTAGCTGTTGCAACCTCCCTGACGAGATAGGAACGATGATCCTGTCGCACGGCATTCACCTCCAGTGCATGGGCCAACGTGTCCTTAAGTGTCTCGTGGTGCCCGAGCCTCACAGCAGCTCTGACTTCAAGGTCGCGGATGCCGTCGATGAATGTCTGCTCCAGGTTCCCTACAATGAGCGCAGGTACAGACTGGTACCTTTTTCGAACCAGCTTCTCCACCTCAAGGGCCCACTGCTGCAGGTTTTCGTTACTGCGTTGCACGCGATCTTTGAGCTGCGCACGAAAGACGTGTTCCAGGTGAGCGTCGCCATATCTCGCCTCCAATGCCTCAAGGAGCTGCTCGTAAGTCACTTCCTTACCAAGAGCTTCCAGAACAGTTAAGGCCTGGTCTCGCAGGCCTAGGGTGAGAGCAGTCATAGCCTGACGAAAATTCCAGCCGTTCGCTTTCATGACAGCCTCGAACTGGATTTTATAGGCCGACCAGGAAGAAGTCCCGTCGAACGGTGGCACTTTGAATCCATGTAGCGAAGGTGTTGTTGCTACCACGGGAGCTGTAACTCCATCCCCAATTTTGAGGTCGTTCGGCGTTTTCTTCACGTCAACCATCACGTTGTCAACCCGATTGTTCACTTGGTCGATTCGGGTTTCAGCTTCCGAAAGGCGGTTGTCATGTTGAGCAACCCTATCCTTCACCTCCTTTATCTCTTTCCCGAAGGTAGCGTAAAGGTCCTTCATGAGGAGCATCTGCTCTTCCTTATCGCGTTTGAGCTGCTTTTCCAAGCAACGGGCCTGTTCCTCCTGTCCGCGCTGCAGCTGCTCTTCCAACCGACGGACCTGTTCTTCCTGTCCGCGCTGCAGCTGCTCTTCCAACCGAAGGGCCTGATCCTGCAGCATCATCATCAGAGCACCTAAGTCAGGTGCTGCAGATGCAGGAGCTGCTGACGGGCCGGCCTTCGTGGTCAGCAGCTGGCCCTCCGACGTTTCCGGCGTTACATTACCAAATCGTCTCTGGTCCGTCTCCAGCTGGCGTTGACTTCGGGTACGGATACCCTTCACGTCGTCCTTTGGTAAAATCGGCATGATTTGATCCCACTTCTGACACCAATTATTACGAGCTTGGGGTTCGAGACAGTTAAAACTGCCGATTGAAATACCAAAATTGACACTTTAATTACACGACACTAATTACAATCTAAAACCACACTAATAATAAAACACAATTGTACTACTGATCACTTAAGTTCGCAGTTGTTTCGCTTCGAAGTATTCTCTTGTATCGCCAATTCAATACTCCCCTGGTCGTGGTCTATACCGGCTTTATATAGGGCCTCAGATAGTTTCCAGAACCTTCTACTGTATCTAGAATGTTCGAGTACATATCGGTCCCGAAATTTCTGGGAGGATCTTGACTGTCCTAGTTCTGCTACTCGACACTAGAGTGCGCTATTGTAACTAGTGTTGCCATGTACAAGACATTAATAGTGGCGCGCAACAATATTTAGATTATGATCCGATCTGTGTAATTGTATTCGGGTTTTATTACCAGATAAACTTAATGTATTTGTGGAGTATGCTGTATTGATATTATATTATGTGGGTATGAAACAGGCCAAAAGCAGTCCAACGGTAACTATCTTCGCAATTAGGGCGGAGTCGATGATGCGTCAGTTTATAGCGACATCCTTGTTTAATTTTTATGTCCTACTCATGCCTCGTCACTGCAGTTAACGTTCAACGCTTTCTATGCACTGCGCTCCTGGTAGCTATATATTTAACTAATACGTTGAAACATAGTATTTTTAAATTAGAATAAAATTATATACGAAAGATGTCCAATTTCCACTGAAGCCCAAGGGGAAGAGGGATTAGTTTCAAATTCTTAAATGATATACCCTAAATGTAAAATTTTGCTCTGACGTTACAATAATAATATTTTAGTTTTGTTTTACCATTGTTTTAGTGAAATTTTAATGCGCACTATTTTTTTATTTTTTGCAAAATACGATTTTTTCCAGTTTACGGTACGATCTAAAAAATAAAGTTGGCAACCCTGACTCACATTAGTGTGTGGTTGTGGTGTGAAAACTGAATAAAAAATACTCAAGACTTGGCCTAAAGGTCAAGATACCACGCCATAAACTCCAAAAAAAGTGTGTGTTGTGGTGTCAAATGTCAATGTCAATCGCGTAGGTACATGTAGTATCAATTAGGGATGGTCGATGTTGACATCGACAGCTCAACATCGATATTCGATGTTTATCCTACTCAAGACATCGATGTTTGCCATTATCGATGTTTTATTGCACATGTATTTAATAGGTTGGAATTAGATGAATATAAAAATTGTCATGTTGTTTATGGTTTATAATTAATAAAATAAAAGAAATTAATAAACAATGTAGTATAAACAGTAGTTAAAAAAATGGAAGAAGTTTACAATTACCTAATTCATTTGTTATATTGTCCAATATGTTTGCCGATTGATTGAAGAAATAGTAATTTTGACAAAGAAGTACCTTTCAATCTGTTTCTTTGTTGCTAACGAGTTGAGCCAGCTATTGAAAATAATTTAAAAAATTTGTATAACTGACCTAAGGATAACTCAAAAACTATTGGTCAGACTTATATGGGTCTAATTTATATGGGCCACATGTGAAGCACCAAATTTCAAATAAAAAATCATCGAAATCGGTTCACCCAGAAAAAAGTTATGAGGTAACACACATTTAAAAAAAGAACATACAGTGGAATTGAGTACCTTCTCCTTTTTGAAGTCGCTAGATAACCGCTCATATGGAGTTGATGTAGCGATTGTGGTCAAATACCCCACCGCAAATTTTCTTTTTGATTTTAGATAGGTAGAACCGATAACATTGTTCTAAACGTGTATTGCATCGTGTTTAAGATTAACCATCGGATTATTTTAAGAACAACCGATAAAGAAACATGACAACGACACCAATAACAAACGAAATCAGTGACAATTGCGACATTACAGTTGACACTTGACAGTTAAATTTGATACCCTATAATGATATATTTTTAAGTTATCGATGCGTTCGAGTATTCTGAATTATTCAAAATTTTAAATATTTTAGAGATGCAAGATTTAGTTGATATTGGTTTCGCGGATTCGCACGTACCCAATAATCGATTATGGGTTTATTGACATCGATGTTTCGATGTTTGATATGTGGCAATATCGATGTTAAAACATCGATGTTTTCATTCTTGACATCGATGATCATCGAAAATCGACGATCATCGATCATCCCTAGTGTCAATGGTTAAAAAGCATACAAACCAAATCAAATCTGCCAATTAATATTACTAATTAATCTTCATTTTCCACTCTTATCCTCTATTCACGATCTTTGTCTTAGGTGAATGGTCTTATTTATCACAGATTATTAATTAATATAATATGGCTGATGCAATAGCAGCACGTCGAGAAGCTCGAAGAAGAAGAATCTTAGAAAATTCCCACAACAGACTGCAACTCATATCGGGCAAAACCGATGATGACATTAACAAAGGTGCCGCCACCCCGTTGTAATGATAAAAAATATTCGGTTTATTATTGACGTATCTTAATTTTACCTGTTTTTTTTTCAGATTCTCCGCGTAGAACTCCTATTCCAGACCAAAACGTTGACATACCCTTTTTAACAGAAGTTGATACCATAAACACACGTTTTCTTGATAATGGTATAATCAATAGTGAATTTGAAACAACAGGATTCACAGAAAATGACAACCTGTCTGACAATAGAGAGGTAACCAATGACTTGGCAGCTTTTACATTATTATCACCCGAGCCATGTCCAACACTGAACCCCTCTTTAGTTGATAAAGTTGTCACTAGCAAATATGACATAGTTTTATTATCATTATTAATTCAAATACTGTATGAATTATCAGTTTTTACATTTGACCAGGCATTCTTTTTTCTTCCACTGATTTTATACATTGTGACAAAATTAATATTTTTTCCAAGACAAAGTAATTCCAGCATTGCTAATGCCCTTTTACTTTTAAATGGTATTTCTGCAGAGAAGGTGAAGATCATTGTATATGTTATGCAGTTGTTAATGCTCATTTCTGGAGATGTATGTTTGTATTTATTTACAATAATTTGTATACAATCTTTGTCTATAACATTAAAAGATAATTTCATCACATAGGATTTATTTTGGCAGATATTTACATTAGTGGAACATTGTACAGACTGCAGTTAATTGTTAATTTTACAGATGGTTATAGGGGATACATAAAATACCATTGTTTTGATTGCTTGTGCCTTCAAAGTGAGAATTTGTGACAAGTGTGCGTTTTAGTCACATATTGCCATTTTAGTTTTATAATAATTAGTTGTATATATTTAACACATAAATTTTTGTTAGTAAACAATAAGAAAATAATATGCATAAGAGAACTGGTCTAGTGATGAAATATTTTGTCTACTTTGACTATATCTTGAGTCAAAATATGTTTTATATCTTCCAGTAATTATTTTGATGCCTATTGGTGGTAATTTTTAGAAACTAAAATATTGCACACAAGTTTTCAAGCTATTTTCTAAAATTTCAATATTGCATTTTTCTACTTACCCACTTTTTATGTATAAATATTGATTCAGTTGATTTATTTGGCAAACAGCCTTTGCATTTGTTTTTATTACACATTATATATTAATGATAATTATCTCCTAATTAATCCAACTGGATTACTGCTAACTACTGTCAGAAATGAGTGCTGAGTAAATTCATTGGTGTTTAGCTTGAAGGCAGTGTGAAATGGTGACACTATTGCTGACTAAAAATTGCATAAGTGTGAAATTATATGGAGAGGTTAAATCTTTCTGTTTATACATGCACTTGTAGCCCAAAAATTTATCATGCTTAGTAAATAATTTCTAACAGCATTTAAAAGTGAAATTCATTTATGATAATGGAAATTTTTTAATGTGCCAGTTCAAAAATGTGTATCATTTTGTCTTTTCTACAGACTTCAAAAAGGAGACAGTACTCAATTCTACTGTATGTTTTTTTCTTTTTTTTATGTGTGTCACCTTATAACTTTTTTCTGGTTGAACTGATTTCAATGATTTTTTTTTGTTTGAAAGCTGGTGCTTTTCATGTGGTCCCATATAAATTTGATCAACGTCTGACCGTTAGTTTTCAGTTATTCCTAATAATTTATATTGAAGTCTGTTGTACAAATTTTTTAATTTCAAATTATTTATCTATCAAATTTGGTCAATGTAATATGAATACTAATCATTTGTAATATTTTTACACATCGGAATAATAAAGAGATTTTTATGAAATTGTGGCTAATCTAACTGTTAAAATTATCCTTTGTTGTTTTTCATATCATATTGCATTTAAATGTATATTTATTTATTTCATATCATATTGCATTTAAATAATATTTATTTTTGTATGTATGGTTAATACTATAATCAACAGGAATTATAATATTCTATTATAATTCCTGTTGATTTCTTTTGTTACTGTATCATAAATTATTAAATTTAGGTTTTACCAATATATACTATATTTTTGAATACAGAAAAAGCTCAATTTCTAGAAAACATACTATACTTATTAAAAAGTACCCTTCGTAACAAGTCACAAATGATTAAAAGCATTTACAATAAAATATATGTATGTAAGTTGCAGCATTACAACTGGTAGTTATTATAAAATGCAACAATATATAATATATGGCGTTTAAAACACTATTATTAGAAGAAAATTAGTAAGAGCAATTTTGATATATTTGTACTTTGGTAATTTTATATAATAAATAGGCTTTTGTTGTATACTAACATATGATGATTATCAATTCTACATAAACTATTTGTACCAAAGATTTACAGTCTCCATTTACAAAGTAAAATCTAATCTGGTCATCTTATTTGGTTTTCTAAAACTACTTTTATTAGTATAAGTTTTTCATCACAGCAATATAAATTATTTGATTATGATTTTTAACAAATATGTAAAAGTCTAAAGAGACCATATTTAAGTAAGTACCATACATGTGAGTGCTAAATGTAGATAAAAATATTGTTACTATTTGTACTTAATGAAATATTCATCACATTGTATATATAATTTTGTTGCATTTTTCATGTTTAAATATTAATATTATACAAAAAAAAAACAACTTAAGCCTATACACATCACAGTATATTTCTTAACACTTTTACTGTCCGGTTTTCAGACATAATAGTAAGACAATAGCAATGACCTATATGTAGTGCACGGGACAGCGAATGGGCTATGCTTCTTCTCTTGACAATATATTCTGAGGCTTAATTGATAACGTTGTGTCAAAAAGGCATAGTAATAAAACAAAGCAGATTTATTTTAAATTATATATTTTAACAATATTTTATAAAATTTTAAAATAAAAATTGTTTAAAAAAACTATCTTGATTGTTTATTTTCTTTTATCTTAAAATGAGATTGCCGAAATAAGATACAGTTAATTTATATATATTTTATTATTTATTTATATTATTTACATATTATATAGTATACAATATTTCCATCTTATTTACTTTCTCCGTGTTAAATTATTTAGGACGTCCGTTGCGTTAAGCGAGAGAGACACGCCGCCCCGCCGCAAGTAGCAGGTATATGCAGCGGGCTCCGCTCTGTTATATTTTACAAAGGTACTCTGTGGACCGATCTTAGTACCCACCGCGGGTACCCTGATACCGATATACGCAGCGCCGCTAGCACAGAATAAATAATAGTACTACGTACCGCTGGTACAAACTAGAAAATGCGTGTTTCGCTAAACGTGCGCGATTTTTTTAGCTTTATAATTGACGTGCATCTCCGTGGTTAGAATTTATTTTCCATTTCTCATATTAGGTATATACATATATTATCTTATATTTCGAAGTATCAAACTTATTTTATTTTGACTGTGTACTGAAAAGACGTAATGACTTAAAATATTTTTAAAGCTTTTTAAAAGTTCCATATCGATGTATGGAATGCAAATAAACGGCCCGTAATATGGGATATATAGTAAATGAGTTTAATAAAGACCTCTACTTTATATATGATAATATTATGTAGACTATAACATAATAAATATGTAGCTATAAAGATGATGGTCAAAAATAAATTACCGTAAACTGCCGCAACATTTTCTGAATTTTGAACCTTTTTGCCTATATTTCAAATAATTTACCTTATTTATAATATTGAAATCTATTACATGTAAATATGATCTCTCATGAGAAATAAAGGTTAGGAAGTTAGGATCTTGTTTATAGTGCTTGGACAAGCATTGAATTTTTGCAGAAACTTAGCCTATTGCTAATTAAGCAGGCAAAGATAGGATCATCATCCCTAACACAGAGTACTTTTTTATATAGGAATCCCTATCATTGCCTAATGTGTTATGGGAAATAAAAACGTTATAATTATTTTCAATTTGACTGCTAAGATGTACCATAAGGTCCATAAGCTTTAGTTTATGTACTAGATTATTAATATACATATTATGTTTGAGCCTTTATAGGCTATTAACCTATAACTTTGCCTCGTCATATATGTATATATATAAATATATAAATGACGAGGCAAACTTGGACAGAATTCTGTTAAGTTTTCATGACTGTATGCCTAGAGCTGTCTCACAAAACAAGGCATAGTTTTTTTTTAATTAATTTATTCTGTTTAAATCAACACTTAAGGATTTAAATAATCATCATTAATCATCAGCAGCTCTCGTCACACTAAGTCTCAACTCACTGCAGTTTGAAATTAGGTCCTACAGTCAAAAACGTATTAAAAAAGATAGACACTAGACAGGTTACACACTAACATTATTGTATTTTATAGTGGTGCAGGTACCAGGTAGTACTATATCTACGTACAGTTACTTATTATGACATGTTGCGCTAACAAAAAGAGACAAATGATACGACATACCTATCGTTGGAAAAAGATGAATATACATCATTAGTTGCGTATTGATTGCTTCTGAGCGCTCATTGGCGCGAGCGCGTGACATACCGATATGGGATTGAACCTTTGAGCATAGAATTTTCTAAGAAATGAACAGACAAATTTACACTAGCGGTTAGTGTTGAAATAATAAAACTAATTATGAACAAAACATCTATTTTAAAAATATTAATGAGATGGTTTTTCTTGTCTCTAACAGTTGCCGTGTAATTTCTGCACCACCAAAAACACAGGAAGGCATTTTTACCACGAATAACTAGAAGATTTACGCGCTGTAGCGAAGGTATAGCCGCGACGCGAGAGCGTGCCCGACTGAACGCGGGTTGGGCAATTACCTGACTTTTGTATTGCCATTTTAGAGCGAGTATAACGTATCTATACAGTGGGTTGAAACTTAAAACAACAAGTAAAAAAAAAAATCTTTCCGCATATAATATTAGGTGCCATTTTTCTTTGAATATCAAACCAGAAGTATTTATAATTATAATAATTTCTTGTTTAAACTCTCTAACTCTACACATTTAAATAAAACTAGTTTTTACTGATTTTATCATGCATATTAACTTATTTTATATTCTAGACGCTTCGAGCACTTTACAGCACTCATGGTCATGGGGGAGACTGAGGTGTTCGACGTTCCAATGTCATAGTCAACCGTGGCTATCTCCAGATCAAAATTATTAATTTTTGTTCCGATCCTGGAGCTGGAAGAAGGCGGAATCCGCACAATCATCCAAAACAAATGATAAAATATGTTTATAATTTACCTATTAACTGGTTCCGGATTGTTTTTGTGTGTGGCGTAGGACACGCCACACACAAAAACACGTAGGACAAACGTAGGACAAACGTAAAAGGAAAAACGTAGGACACGCCAGTCGTGTCATTTTTAAAAATTGTTATAAAAAAGTTTATTTTGCAAGTAGTTCATGCCTACAGCTTCGTTTCTGGATATTTTGATAATTTGAAATTTTTAGGGGTTGACACCTTTTTTTAACTTGTACATGGTACTCTTATTACTTTGTGGGTTTTAAACCATGTTATGGAAAAATAGTCTAATAAGTAACAAATAATAGCATTCATTGCGATCGCTCACAAACTCAAGTTGTAAATAAATTTCTGGAAAAAAAGTCTCCTGTTAAAGTTAAAAGTTTGTCTTATTCTTTAATTTTTCTTAGAATGGTTGA